CAAAGATAAAAACTAAGTCCAGCCTTTTGGGGGAAAAGCACCTTTGGCACAGCCCAAATGACCGATAGACAGACCCAGAGAGCAGAGGATGAAGCAGAAGGGAGCAATCAACTGTAGGATAGTTTTGGGAGTGATCAAGAAATCCAGTTGTGATCTGGCTGGTGCAACCCATTAGCAGCTTGTAGACAGGAACTTGGCTTTATTTGGCTTTCCACACTAGAAGCATTTATACACCCAAATTTGATAAATATGGAGAAAATCGTAACGTATAGAGACATACTGAATGAACAGGGAGAACTGAAAACTAGATTAGAACTGGTAGCACAAGGGGCAAATGTAGAATGGTGGTCTTATTTACAAATACAAACAAGATACATATAGGTCAGGAAAACATGGGGCATTAATAAAGAATTAACAATTCTGGATAAGTTTCTGTTAGAGACCAATGATAAATTAATAAAAGTGCTGCATAGATATTTATCAGAATACAAACTTGAGGAAGAGCATATTAAAGAAACAATGGTGGCATGGACAAAAAAATTCAGTTATAATATTGAATTGGCTAAATGGCAAAAACTTTGGACCACCAATAAGAAAAATAGCATTGGCCACGGCATACAAAGAAAAGCTTTGTAAGATGTTTTACAGGTGGCATCTTCTGCCAGCAAGGCTCTCCAAAATGTTCAAAAGTCTATCTCCAAATTGTTGGAAGTGCAAAGATGTTTCAGGCATATTTTTTCACATGTGGACTTGCAATGCTGCCAAAAAGTTTTGGAGACAGATTCAGACATGGGTGGAACAAATGGTGGGAGACTGTATTCCATTTAAGCCGGAATTTCTTCTCTTAGGAATAGTATCAGAAGCATATAGGAAGAATTTAATATATCTAAAAGTACATGTGTTGAGGGCGGCTAGAATAATATATGTGCAATACTGGAAGAAGGAAAGAACACCGCAGAAACCGAGATAATAAGGAAATTTATGGCCTCTGCAGAATCAGATAAGTTAACCCTAGAATTAAAAAACAAGGAAGAACCTGAGTACTATGAAACATGGAATAAATTCTATCAATGGTTGCATAGAAGAAGGCAAGGTTGGAACATAAGTAGCTATGATGATTAGAATAATTAGTAAACAATGTATCAAGGAGATTGTAAATGATGAAGTAAAATGTATATATGTATAACAATTGTAATGCCAGCCGCACTGTGTTGTATTGTTATAATTTAAATAAATAAAGGAACACACAATAGTGATTGATCCACATGGAAGCGACAGTCATCACCAGACCTACCTGTGGCCAGAAAATATTGCAATTGCGTCTTCTTTGCTTCATTCCTGATCCCAACAGGAAGGTTTGCGGGTGAGGAAAATTTCTGGCTGACTTTAAAACAGCTGTCATGCCCCTGGTGGAGACTGACTCTGAGGGAGAGGAGGAACAGCCGACAGGGTGGCTCCGGAGGTTGTGGAGGAGGCTGGGGAAGGGCAGAGGCCGGCTGAGCAGTCAGAGGAGGACCCAGGCCCATCCCCTCTCCATCCTAGGGCACGCAGGAAGAAGAGGATAAGGGAGAAATGTGGTCAACTCGGGAGGAGAGGGCCATGATCCTCTTCATGGGTTGCAGGTATGAGATCTGCATAAGAGATTGGACCTGCGTGCTAACAGACGCTGGAGACAAATTAGCGTTTTATTCCTAGATGAGGTTTATCTTGGTTGGCGTTCTTCCAACAGACTGTACCTGGTTATCTTCCTGAAGTTTGTAATTATTTATCCTGGGCTGCCATGGAATTTTACTCAGTGCGGTTTGTTTTTGCTTTTCGCTTCATTATCTGCTCTTTTGAATTTGAACTGTGTTTCTTTCATTTGGAATGTTATTTTGAAAATAGTTTTAATCTTCAACTGTGAACAATTAAACAGTGAAGCCAAGTTGAAGGCATTGAAGGACCTTTATTTACGTTTTGGTTTTTGATATATTTTTGATACACTCCAGGTCATCACAATAGCCATGTGGACTTTCCCAGTGGATGCAGCTGCTTTAAAAGTTCCCCAGAGAGTCTTCTCTTGCACTAGGATGCTTTGTGAAGGACTTCCTTCTCCTGCTTCAGCTCTCCTGTACACACCTAGGACAGGGTTAGGAGATGACCCAAATAATTTTAGGTTCTTTGGGTCTTGGTCAGTTAAGAAACACGAAACCTTCCCAATATGAACCCAAGATGTTGGAAATGTAAACAGAGCCAGGGTGCCTTCTTCCACATGTGGTGGCTATGCCTCGAAGCCAAAAAAATACTGGGTCAAAATATGGAGTTGGTTGCAAGAAATAACGAAATGTCAAATAGAGTTCAAACCTGAACTGTTCCTTTTAGGAATAATTAAGGGGAAATGGAGTAAAAAGACCAAATACATGATATTACACATAACAACAGTGGTGAGGATGGCATTCGCGGAACGTTAGAAGCGAGATAGTATACGGCCGGAGGAATTAGTAATTTTGAAAGGTATTAGAATGCGCTGAGATGGACAAACTCTAGAGCTAAACGGCAAAGAAGAATCAGAGTATTACGCAGTCTGGGAGAATTGGTATGAATGGTTGAATAGTAGGAATGAGAATAGTAGAGATAAGAAAAATGTATATAAATCAGTATAAATGAATGGAGATCTGTATATGTAAAAACGATGCCACAGTGTTGTTAAGGATGAGAATGAGATATGTAAACGTGAAAAAGCATAATAAAAATAAGTAAATAATTTTTTTTTAAAAAGAAACCTGGTTGAAAGCAACTACTGTCCAGGGAGGCTGGAAGGTGGGTTGTTCAAGTAGCATTTGTGGCTTGTACCAAGTCTTTTAAATTTTTTTTTTTTACATGGATTTGGATTATTGGCATTTTTAGAGGCACTGTTTACAACCTGATAGCTACATATAGTTATGTGTTCTAAGCTTTTCTCTTTTCGTTAGAAATAGATGGGATTATTCTTGGCAACTTTAAGATGTGTGGACTTCAACTCCCAGAATTCTCCAACCAGCATGGAGAATTCTGGGAGCTGAAGTCCACACATCCCGTAACCTTCTTAAACAATTCTAATAGCTAGCAGAGGGCTAAATGATCCAGTATACGAAGTGTGTGACTTGAGATGAACCTCAGCCTGTGGGAAGGACATGGCTTTATTTGTCCATCCAGTTTCATTGTTTCACAAAGTTCACCACTCAATTTCCATTATGAAACACATCCTGAGGAACTACTAAAGCTTCTCCTAATGTTTGAAGAGATGATTATCGTACTAGAACAAGTGTCCGTGTTTCCAAAATGTATTCCGGAGTGGGGATTGCAGTATTTAATACTGAAGTAAGGAACTTCTGTTAATGCTTG